ATATATATATATATATATGGGAAAAAGAGGTTAAAGTTAGTCCAACAAGAGAAAAGTGTATATTTTAAAAAGAAGATAGAAACTGCAAACATTTTTGGTTGTAATGTGTTTTTTTTTTTAAATGTATATTATGCTTTATTTTCCATAATTTTGCAACACAAGTTTTGGGTCTCATGACCTTCTTCAGGCAAAGAGTGGATATTTCCACATATTATTAAAATGAATTAATTTTCTTTATGTTTTTCAATGTTAATCATTCATTTTTTTTGTGGTAGTGATAAAAATGTATTTCTTGGACTGCCAGTGAGAAGGTTCTTCTGCTTGAAGGGTAATAAAACAATTATTCTGGCAAGAAAAATCCTCTAGCTGACCTAGCAATTGATGCAATACAAACCTTCTACTTCATATCAGTGAAAAAATATTTGTTCAAGAATGAGGCACTTTCCTGGGGGTTAGCATCAGTCATGCTGATGGAAGACAAAAAGTGTTCTCTCTTATTATGAAAAGACAGCTGTTTTATTTTGGAGGTATTAAAAGTAACAAGCCATTCCTTGCCCCAGTTAACAACAGATTGTAGGTCATTTTTGAAATCAGCTGTCAATTTAAACTTATTGAACTGATCAGACTTACAATTAAGAACTTACATAGAACTGATAACATTCAGACGTTCGTACATGAACATTTGGGACAAGATAGGTGCAAGGATAAAGACCTAGTTAGCATCTGCATTAGTACAAAAAGATCTAGAAGAATGGCCATTCAAGACAACTTTCATTTTGCAATTTGATAAGAAAGAGTGAATCAGTTCAAAAATTCATTCAGAAATATAACCTTTCAAATTCTGAAGAAGACCAGTATGCCATACCCTGTCAGACAACTTTGAGATATTCAAAGCAACAGCCTGAGCTTCACGATTCTTATCTAAAGCTTGACAGACTCTTTCAGTAATAACCATTAACACCTCAGCAGTTGACCTAGAGATGCAAAGCCATATGGCTTATCTGAAAGAAGACCTTGTGAGGTGAGATGATTAACCAATTCAGAGTTGATAAGAGCTTCTAGTACTTTTCCAAAAAGAGGTAAAATGCTAATAAGCCGAGAGAAGGATCAGATGGTTCACCTGAGTTCTTAAAGACTGGGACTGCTGAAGAAGGTTTCCAACCAGCAGGAAAGCAAGAAGCAGCAAGGCATTTATTGTAGAGTTTAGAGAGAACAAGACACAGTTCAAGAGCACATTTCTTAAAAACTATTGCAGGGATGCCATCAAGTTCACATGCTTGTGAAGATCCAATTATGAAATGATAGCAGAAACCATAGATGGGGTAATATTCATATCACTCAGAAGAGATTCAGTTCTAAGTGGAAAGTCAGGTGAAGATACTCCAGATGAATAAAGAGTTGAAATGAATTCTCCCCTGATGTTACCCCCTTGTTCTTCTTTTCCTTTTTTCATTTTGCTCCTCTATACTTTCCTCTCTCTCACTTTCTTCTTTTCCTTTTTCATTTTTTCTTTTTACTCATCTTTTCATTCTTCTCTCTCACTTACTACTCTTTCTTATTTCCCCTTTCTTCTTTTTTACTCAACTTTTCTTTTCATTCTTCTTCTAATCCTACTCTTACCATATATATATATATATATATATATATATATATATATAATATATATATTATATATATATATATATATATATATATATTATATATATATATATATATATATATATATATATATATATATATATATATATATATATATATATATATATATATATAATATGAATATACATTAATCAGATATATATATATATATATATATGAATATACATTAATCATATATATATATATATATATATATAACAGATGTCAGAATTCATTGAAAAATACATCCCTACCCCTACCAAAACATAACTATTAACTGATACAACAAAATGCAGCAATAATGAGCTCACAAACACCCCTTGTCTAGATAAATGGATTTCCCTGTATCCTTGGAAACATGAATTATGATTTTTTGCTGTGCCTTTAAAACCCAGTAATAAATAAGTTACTCCAAAATTTGCTTGAGGATGAAATGGGACTAAAGTCTTTAATTTAATTACAAAATTAAATTCTAAGCTTTTAGCTTCTATTTTTGAAACATGGTTAGAACTGTGTAGCGAGAAAAAACATATTTTAAATCAATTAATTTATAATATTAATGCTCTGTAAATTTGCATTGAGCCCTATTTTGTAAAAATAAAAATATTTATAAGAACACCGGATTATATATCTTACTGTTCTTTCTTTTTATTTATATATACATATATATATATATATATATATATATATATATTAATGTATATTCAGACAAAAACCTTTCTTTTAAACATCTTTCAGACATGACAGACAAAGAAAATTTTATTAATTTTTGATTTAGTTTCCCAGCATTCCTTTTGGTGGGAATCAGGGAGTACAAAACTTTCCATACCATCCATTGTCTGAAGCACTTCTTTGGCCACCTCCTTAGCCATTTTTAAGGGTTTTTTTTTTTTTTTTTTGGTGGCGTTAGTTTCTATTCATGTTTTGACTGTTTGAGATGTATTTTTTGTGTTGTTTTAAATTAGTGTGTGGAAGATGCCTGAAATTTAATTGAACATCTTTCTAAAAGCTCTTTGATTATTTTGTATTTTATAACTACTAAATTGTCTGCAATGTAGGTATTATATTTTATTTCTATAGGATGAAAACAATCCTGCGATTAATACGATGGCATTCAATTTTTGTTGGCTTTTTCTTTTTGTAAATATATTTCCTTTTTTTACTGACTTTTGCAGAATACATACTGGATACAACAGGAAATTCTATATTATACTTTCATTCTTTTAAAACCGTTTTCTTATCCTTGTTGTTTTATTATAACACTACACTCACTATTTTTTTGCCTGAATTTACAGTCACCAAATTATTATGACAAGAACAAAATTGACAAAACTAACTCAAGTTAATCAATGTCATCGCTGAAATGTTGTGATAAATGATATGGTTGCTTGTCTGATAAAATCAATACTATGAATACATTGCCCATTATCTCAAAAATTCAGATATCCAAAAAGCTGAATTGTAATGTCAATGGTAATATTTGCCATTTCCTTACAAAGAAACATTCAGCATGCATTGACTGAACAGTCAATGCTGCTTTCAGTTGAAACTTATAAAATGTTTTCAATGAAAACAATTTCTATTACTGATAGGGGTTTCCTTTATAACCTTTTGTTTGAAGTAGTGTGGAAAGTCAACATCTTAATTATGTCATTATTTTCTCTTCATGTTACATATACTATACATTTTAATTGTTGCTGCTGATATGGTTTCTGTTATTTGGTACAGTTCTTTGTGACTCTGTAGCACCAGTCCATGAGGTTCAAAGAAGGATGGTCCTCACTTAAACCTACAGGCTTCATTTAATCAAAATCATTTTTTGTCATTGATTTCATAAAGAACGTTATCTACAGCTGATATATTTCTGAACAACTTTATAGTATGACGTCATTATGAAACTGTGTGAAAAAAAAGATAAAGAAATTGGTTTGTCTAAATTAATATATACAGAATTAACTATTTCTGTGAAATCAGACAATTTTTTTAAAAACTTACTTTTATTTCTGTTCATCATGTTTAATATATGTTAAAAGTGGATAAATTTCTAATTTTGTTTATAACCTTATAATTAAAAAGAATTTTTTTTTTTCTAATTTTATTTTCATTTCTTTTCAGAAGCCTATTAATAATAAATACACAAGAATGCATTTTCGTTAAACACTTCTCCCACCTCAGATTTCTTTGCATGGGATTTTCATAAAGGTTTATCACTAAAAGACCAATAGTTAGCTAATCTAAAAGAATGTATTCGTATAAGCAATGCAGGTGATAACATCGGAAATGCTTCAAAATTCATTTTGCAATGCTAAGGATACAATTGAAATTTGCAGGAATACAGACAGAGCACCTGTTGAAAAAATTTTCAATAATGTTTCAACGTAAAATTTATAAATCTGTTTGTTTAGGTTTGGTTTGTTTTATGGCATATCAATGTCAATGGGTTATTTAATGCTGACAACATTTTTATTACTGGTAATATTTTTTCCAAAAATGTATTGTTGGTAAGATTTTTTTTTCTTCAAAAATGTATTGCTGGTAATAATGTATTGCTAATAATTTATATTTACCAAAAAATTTGTTCTTCAAAAATGTATTGTTGGCAAAATTTGTTCTTCAAAAATGTATTGTTGGCAAAATTTGTTCTTCAAAAATGTATTGTTGGCAAAATTTGTTCTTCAAAAATGTATTGCCTGGAAATTTTTTTCTTCAAAAATGTATTGCTGGTAATAATGTATTGCTGGTAATAATTTAACAAAAAATTTTAACAAAAAAATTATTGCTGGTACTAAAACCTACTTTTACACTTTCATAATGTTTTGACCCCAATTTTGGGATTAACTATTTGCCTATAGTTGGGGCCCTAACAGGTGCCACCACCTCGGGTCAGGGTGGACCTGAGAACAACAGCAATTAAGAGGTGGTTCTACGCTCCTCAAAACTTCCTGATCAGAGGCCTTGTTGGATGTAGTTTATTATCTTACCCTGGATATGGATGTAGTTTATTGTCTTACCCAGGACGCCTGTTTATTTTGTAATAAACAAAAAATTGTGTCAGTTTTTTAAAAAATTGACTGTTTTCATTGATAGTTTATTCTGGGATACCCTGTATTATAATAATAACTCATTTCAAAAAAGTAAATTTTGTTTTTTTATGTTTGGGCAAAGAAACTCACAGACACTGTATCTGAAATGAACCACCAGACTTTTCAACTCCTGACTAACAGAGGTACCATAGAGTCATTCCAGCAAGTTCTATTCCATTGAGATTAGTTTGTTTCTGTAGAAAACACAGCTAAGCTAATTCATACATGCATATGCAAATTTTATTGAACAAGAAAAGAGATGCTGCAAATATTCCATTGATGGCTTGCAGCCTGCAGCTGCAATTTGATCTGTCATGGTGGAAGGGAGATGCCGAGGTGCCAAGAGGCCAAAGGTTGGCTGTAAATCATCAGGAATCTTTACAGTGTTTGCATGTTTTCTTAGGGTAAGCAGATCTGGTTAAAGCGGAACCTCCCCAGGGCTCAACTGACTCATCTGAGGAATGGGTGGACGTTTTTCAGAAAGAATAGTATTGATCTATTTGGGAGTGGCAACAGGGCCCTTAACTCAGTAACTCCCTGCCCTACCAAATTAATTATGAACTTAAGTAATAAATTCTTTTCAGATAAAAATTTTTTTTTTTTTTTTGGCTGATGATAAGAATGATCAGAATGGAAATCAAGATGGTTTATTTGTTTATCCTCATCTTTGTAAATTTTCCTTTTCTTCTTTTTTTTTTTTTCTTCTTTTTTCTTCTCTTTTTCTTACTTATCTTCTTCTTCAGCTTTCTTTTCCCCTTCTTCAAAATCTTCCTCCATTTTCTCTCCAATTCATTTTTCATTCATTTTTTCTTCATTCCTTTCTTTCATCACACATTTTTCATTCTTTTTCTTCATTCTTTTCTTTCATCACACATTTTTCATTCATTTTTTCTTCATTCTTTTCTTTCATCACACATTTTTCATTCTTTTTTCTTCATTCTTTTCTTTCATCACACATTTTTCATTATTTTTTCTTCATTCTTTTCTTTCATCACACATTTTCATTCTTTTTTTCATTCTTTTCTTTCATCACTCTTAAATTTTTTTTTCATTCTTTTTCTTCATTCTTTTCTTTCATCACATTTTCATTTTTTTTTTCTTCATTCTTTTCTTTCATCACACATTTTCATTCTTTTTCTTCATTCTTTTCTTTCATCACACATTTTTCATTCTTTTCTTCATATTTTTTCTTTCATCACACATTTTTCATTCTTTTTCTTCATTCTTTTCTTTCATCACACATTTTTCATTCTTTTTCTTCATTCTTTTCTTTCATCACACATTTTTCATTCTTTTTCTTCATTCTTTTCTTTCATCACACATTTTTCATTCTTTTTCTTCATTCTTTTCTTTCATCACACATTTTTCATTCTTTTTCTTCATTCTTTTCTTTCATCACACATTTTTCATTCTTTTTCTTCATCCTTTTCTTTAATCACACATTTTTCATTCATTTTGTTTTTCTTCATTCTTTTCTTTCATCACACATTTTTCATTCTTTTTCTTCATTCTTTTCTTTCATCACACATTTTTCATTCTTTTTCTTCATCCTTTTCTTTAATCACACATTTTTCATTCATTTTGTTTTTCTTCATTCTTTTCTTTCATCAAATATTTTTCATTCTTTTTGTTCTTTGTCAAAATTTTTCTGTTTTTCATTCATTTTCTTTCCAATGATTCCTTTTTCAGTGCCTTTTCTTCCCATTTTTCTCCTTCCTATTTCTTTCTTTTATTCTACATTTTCTTTCTTTCTTTCTTTCTTTCATTATCCTAACCTTTATTTTATTCATTTTACCTTCTTTCTCCTTCATACTCACCTCATATTTTCATTCATTTCTCCTTCACTCATAGAATTCACTTCTGGCTCCATGACTTTCAGTCAACTTTAATCTTCAAAAATTTAAACGCAATGTCAACCGCCATCTGCTGGCCTCTTGATTACTCTTCTTTTATTCACTCTCCTTAGTAATGTTTCTGTTTTCTAATTCTCTACCCCCAGTAGCTCCTTTGTGTCTTAGTGGCTTTATTGCCTTCCATGGGGTAAACTTAATTTTAAAAAAATATAAGCAAGTTGTTTTGTTAAAGAGATGGGGACTGACCAGTTAATCCTGTAAGCCACTGGTAAAATATAATTTTTCTTGAGATTAGATTAATCTGACTAAAGATCTATCTTTACTAATCATTGAGGTCAAAAAACTGTTCAAAATGTTTGCATGTCTTCATCAACAATTTGCAATCACAAAATATCATGAGACATTGAAATAAACAAAACATTTGATTTCCCTTGTCAAAACTTAAAAACATACAACAATCAAGTGACTTACTAATTGTCTTACTGATTAATTGTCTTGCTCATTAATTTTCTTACTCATTAATTCCTATTAATTAAATCTGCCTTACATTTCCATCCCCATTTTTTCATATTATAAACTAATTAATTAACTATTAGCAATGACTTAACGTTTATTGATTGGCTCTGATCAAATATTTCATTTTGATCAACAATTCAGTTCACATGTAAAAATGTAACTGATATAAATATTAGAAAAAAAATTAACTTCAGATTTGAATCACCAAAAGGATTATCCTGTAGGAGAGTAGCCAAGAGGATAAAAGACAGGTGAGAGTCAATTCAATACATCTGCAATGTTATTGTTGTACAGACTAATAAGAACACAATTATTGTTTATTCAACTCTTTGTCAGTTAATATCAGCCAATGGGTGTGTGGCTTTGGTGACTTTCTCCAAATGTAGATGCTTCTTCTCACAAGGTTTTGGTTGTCTTAAATATGCACAACCTCAGTGCAACTGTGTGGGCCACCTGTTTACATGTCAGGAGTAATAACTGACATCCAATGAGGTGTAAAACAGTACATGGTGGTGAAGTGTAGAGCTTCCAAGACACACCCTATTCAAGCATATGGCTTTCTGATGATTTGGTGTGACACTGAGTGAAAAGTCTATTTTGGTATCATCTGAGGTGAGCCAGTGCATATTGGAGCTATCACAGATCAGCTTCACTTACAACAAAGTTTCCATATTGAAATTAAATTTGATTCAGACCATCTTGCTATTTACTGACCTGAATCACATACTACACAAACATTTAGTGGGAAAAGCAAAAATGGCATCAAAGTGATAAAAAATAACCCCTAAATATGCAAAGGATTTACTCTAAAATTCTCAGGAAACTTTTTTTAGTATTGTGCCACAACATAGTTGATTATGACTCTCCACTGTTTTCTTTTTTCTTTATTAATTGTAGATTGCAAAACTTTTGGGGAAAGATAAACAGAGTGGTTTCCTGTTGTGTTTGTTATCATTTTTTTATTTAGAATTGTTTTAATTCTAGTCTGGCTGCCACTCAAGTTTATTTTATTTTATGGCATATTAACCTCATTGGGTTATTTAATGCCGACAAAATTTTTATTGCTGGTAATGTTTTTCTTAAAAAATCTATTTCTGTGAGAAACCTATAGCTGGTCATATGTTTTTCAAAGAATGTATAACTGTTTCTATTGCTGGTATTTTTTTTAAAGTATTGTTGATAATAATTTTTCTTTCAAAAATTATTGCTGGTAATAATTTTTTTTTTTTATTATAATGTATTTCTGATATTAAAACCTATTTTTACACAAGTTTGGGTGTTAATTATTTTCCCATACCTGGGATCCCAACAACCGCCACCACCCTGGGTCAGGAGGGACCCGGGAACAACATCAACCAAGAGGTGGTTCCACGCTCCTCAAAACCTCCTGATCAGAGGCCTTGTTGTTGGACGTAGTTTATCATCTTATCCAGGACGCAGTTTTGAACTTGACCGGATAGATTACCTTCATCTGGAGAGTTTGGTTGGCTTACCACCTTAGACTTGCCTCCTAATGGTATGAGGGGTGCCTGTTTTACTGACTACAACTACTGACTGCCTGATGATTGCATAAAAGTATATGTCATGGTTTGTCACTGCCCACCTGAGATTTGACTTAATATATATATATATATATATATGTAAAAGTTCTCTCCTACTATTTAACCCATAAGTGGAAGGAAAAGAAATAGATTCATGATTTTTCCCAAGTTATTTGTGTGAAAGTGAATGCAATAAACTTAGTAGTGATTTGACCCTTACTCACTGGTTCTACTTGATAGCCATTATGACAATCTTTATCCAGAAGTTTACCAAATGCTATAAACACAAAAAGCAAGCTGGAAGACAAAATGTCGATAATGCGTTTTAAGGGTTTTTTTTTACTATGATGAACTTCAGTGCTTGGAATTTAATACATATCTGAGTAGACACATATTTCTACCAAGAGGATATTGCTGATTTTTTAAATAGATTGCATTTACTGTAAACATTTGTTGAAGATTATATTTCAGACTAAGAGGGCCTCGAAAATCAACATTTCAAATAATGGTATTTACCAGAATTTTAAACCTGACTACCAGCATGGAGAAATAAATTGCAGTTTCAACCAGCAGCTACTTAGGGGGGAAAAAAACCAGATGCATTGTGAGCAAGAAATGTAATTACCTTTCCTCCACTGTATATTAAAATCATTTTGTATATCTTGTTCTATTTGCAGTTATCTATACTATATCTGTCAGTCGAGCTCTATCTCACTCTGTTAATCAATATATTCAATTGAGAGGCTGATAGATATATAAGATGACAACTAAAAATGAGATAGATATAAAGAGAGCAATAGATTGGTAGAAAGCCATAGAAAGATAGGTGAATAAGAAAGGTAAAAATGAAATAGATAAATAGATAGAGAGAGAGAGAGACAAAAAGGTAAATAAATAGAGAGAGATGGACAGATAGATGAACAGATTGCAGTGGATAAACAGTGGAATAAATAGATATGAACAGATTGTGAGAGATAGATAGATAGATAGATAGATAGATAGATAGATAGATAATGAACAGAATTAGATAGATATGAACAGACTGAAATAGATAAATAGGTAGATATGAACAGACTGAAACTGAAATAGATAGATAGATAGATAGATAGATATGAAGAGACTGAGATAGATAGATAGATAGATAGATAGATAGATAGATAGATAGATAGATAGATATGAACAGACTGACATAGATATACATGTATGGACAAAAATAGATAGATAGATAGATAGATAGATAGATAGATATGAACAGAAGAGGATAGATAGATAGATAGATAGATAGATAGATAGATAGATAGATAGATAGATATGAACAGACTGACATAGATATACATGTATGGACAAAAATAGATAGATAGATAGATAGATAGATAGATAGATAGATAGATAGATAGATAGATAATGAACAGACTGAGATAGACAGACATGAACAAATTGAGATAGATTGATATAAACAAACTGTGATAGGTACATAGATATGAACAAACTGATAGATACATAGAAAGATGTGAACGAACACATAGATATGAACAAACTGAGATAGATATAAATAAACTCAGATAGATAGTAAATGAATGCAACTGACTGCTTCCTCTTTATGATGCAAATAAAAATGTACACACACATATGAACAGACACAAACACACATAACAAAGATATTTCAGCATTGAAGCATATACTTAATATATAAATCTGTGTCTTTATGCAAACACCGTGTTGAAATATTCTGTCTGTTCATCAGTCCTTTTACCAATTTCATTCAGATAAAAACCACATCACCTGAAGATATAACGACCAATGTCAGATCGAATGAATCTTCATCTGCTGGTGAGCGCTCTCTGTAATTTTCCCCTAATCTACCTCCTAAAAGTTTAGTTCCTTGCCTGGAGAAATTCTAAAGAAACCTTTATGAAGAAAATTCTACGGGGTATAGTTGCTCTATTAGCAGAATGATGCCAGACTCATGCATAATAGAACAAGGAATGGAGGAAAATGTCTCTCAAAGAGGAACTGAGGCTGAGTAGAGGTTTGGTAGCAGCGAGGTGATCTCAGTCTGCGACACCACCACAGGAACTCAAGAGGGGACAAACAGGTGGCATGGTCATTGAATTTCCAATCACAGCAGATCAGAGACTACTCGAAAATGTATGGACACTTCCCCACAAGCATAGATAGAAAATTTCAGATGTTTGCTCTGTTGTTACTGCCTGAGGGTAAGGGTTGATGTTGGTTTCGGCTAGAGACTGGGTGTATATCAAACTGAGTCATATCTCTGAATGCAAGCGGCATCACTCTTGCAATATGACAGACAGCAATTTCTCATTCATTTTATTTTGCACTTGCAAAAGTATTGAAATAAGGGTGGGGATGATAGGTGGACAAGAAGGGTTACTTTTATACAGAACAAATAAACGGTTGCATCTGATGGGCAGAATGGGGATGAGAGTTGAATAGGACATTTTTCTACCTTGCTAGCTTCTTTTCAATTTTACAAACCATTTTTAGGTTTTCATTTATTAAAAGTTTTAAAGAAAGTATTCAAAACAGCATAAAAGAAAACAAAAATGTTTCTTTTTACTTCTCAAGTTAAACAGTGTCATTACTCAGCGCATTATTTAAATGAGCATCTTCATCTTTGTTGTTTTGATCACTATATTTTTGACCAAGTGCTCTGTAGATGTGGTCTTGTATCGTCTAAATTTCTGGGACATAACATTGCCATTATTCACTGATTTATTTGGTAGAGAGTATCTTCACTTTTGTAGCAAGTGAAAATCCTCTATGATTGTCGTTTATTCCGTTAGTAGTGTATTTTTTGGTATTTGCTTAGTAGTAAAAATTTGTTTTTTATGTCTGCATTTTAAGATAAGTTCTGATCATTTATTCAGTAATTTTTGTTTTTACAATCTTTTTATTTATTGTTGTAAACTGATGCTCGGAGAGCCAAGTTTGGATTCCAGTCAAATCTATTATATT